ATTTAACGTTTAGATTTGTTGGCTCATTCAGTGTTCACAACAGTCGTAGGCGGCAGGTACTGGTGTCACATGGGCTGACCCAACACTTCACGTTTCATCTCCTGCTTTGGCAAACACAGGCTGACGCAGAGCGGGTGCGCATCTGGCCGCCAGCGCGGTTATCCCGGCCTGGCAGCAGCCCGGCCTCGCCGGCCTCCCCATCACCAGTCCCAGGACGAGGCACAGGCGGGGGCCTCCAGGGCCTGGCACTTGGGCTCCGGGCTCCAGCTGCACCGCAAGCGACACATTTTGAGTGTCGCTCCAGGATGCTATCAATTCAGTTAACTCACAACAGGCTGGTATTGAACAACCACAATTTGTCTGCAAAGAAGTTGAATATACACATACCAGATCCAATTCCTGAGTTATTCTCCCTAAAATCAACACTATTTCTCTTACCCGGGTGAAGGACTTGGGAATATTCTTCAATTCCAACTGGAAGAGGTTCCCGATGATGGGAAGTGGGAAAGGGTCTGGGGGCAGATTCCAGCTGTTGTGCACCTGCCTCCAGATGGACACCAGCAGGAGGATGGCCACCCACACCAACAGGGCCACGGTGACTCCGAGGGCAGACATGGTGCCGCTGGGGTCCCGCTGCCAGCCTGGGAGGACAATCCTGTAGAAACGCAGGGCTTTTTATAATGTGTTTCGAGCAGGAGGGTGACACACCAACCAATGCCCTCTTCCTCCTAGTCTAGCCCAAGTTATTTGTTTATTGTTAGCTGTTCTTGGCGGTCGTTTCGGAGGCTGATTCCCGCAGTGGTGGCCCCCAGGCGTTCAAGCCAGTGACCAGGTGAGGACGGAGCTGGGCCATGTCAACACCCTGGTTGCTAGCACCTGTTACTGTGCCAGTAAACACACCCAGGGACATGTTGCCAACCCATAGTTAAGAACGTGGGGTGAGGGACTGTCCTGCCCTTTGGACAAAGGGGAACTCCAGCCATATTGCCATGAATTTGTTTGGAGTAGGGTTTAATGTAATACAAGATCAACCACATGCCAACCACCTCTAGACAGGGTACCAGCCCTCCTGGTGCAACAGCCTCTTGATGTCTGATGAGGAGGTTTGTCTGAGTAGCCCCCAATAGTACCTGAATCACCACCTGCCACATGAGTGGGGCCAGAAGGAAAATTCAACATTGGAATTCTATTCCACTTTCTCAAATTCACTGTAAAATTCCATGAAAGAAAAATAAAAGGAAAGAAATAACGGACCAATTCTGTGAAAGTTAATCTCTGTTTTTATTTTTTAGAAAGTTATATATTCTGGCTGTAGAAAATCAAGAAAAAATTATTCTTTGGAATTATTACAAATTTAAATTCTTAAAAAATTACATTAGGGTTTTATTGGATTTGTTTTACATTAGGGTAAATTTGGAAGACGGTTTTAAAGATATCTTGTCTTTGTTGATCCCGGGACACAGTAGAGCTCAACATTGACTAGTTTCTTCTTTCATGTATTTATTATTTTCTTCATACAGGCCCTCTTCCACCTTCTATTAAGGTAGTCTGTAGGTAATTTGTGGAGCTTTTTTGTGTGTGTGGTTAGAATGAAGAGAATGTTTTTCATTCTGTCTTCTAACTGGCAATATATAGAAGGTTTTTTTTTGTGTGTGTGTGTGTGTTTTCTTGAGATGGAGTCTCTCTCTTCACTCTGTCTCCCAGGCTGGAGTGCAGTGGCGCGAATTTGACTCACTGTAACCTCCACCTCCTGGGTTCACGCCATTCTCCTGCTTCAGCCTCCCGAGTAGATGGGACTACAGGCACCTGCCACCACGCGCAGCTAATTTTTTTTTTTGTAGTTTTTAGTAGACACGGGGTTTCACCATGTTATTCACTTAGTATTCACTTCATGGAGTGATACTCTTTTAACACTCTAAGGATTCAACTTGTTAATAGTATTTTTAGCAATTTTGCATCTATAACCGCAAATAAAATCGGGCTATAGTTTTTGTGTTACATTAGGTTCTGGCATAAAAATTGCACTATTCTAGAAACCATTGCAAAACCCCTGTCTTCTCTGTGCCTGGAGATACTTTATATTGTAGGGGAATTGTCTATGCTTCAAAATTTTAATATGGATGGTCTCCATCTCCTGACCTCATGATCCACCCGCCTCGGCCTCCCAAAGTGCTGAGATTACAGGCGTGAGCCACTGTGCCCGGCCTAGAAGTTCTTAATTCATAGGTTGCAATTTTATAGGTTTATATAAGCAATGAATATGTATAATAGAAAATATGATGAGAAATGAAGAAAATAAAAGTCATTTACAATCCAACCAAATGACTTGTGGATTTTGAGTTATGCCATTCTATACTTGTATTTATACAAAAATGAGACTCCATACTATATATTACATTGTAACCCAGTTTTTCTCTTGACAATTTGTTAGCCACATGAGCAAGTAATTTGTTGTGCTGCACCTAACGCTGCACCTCTTCTGAACCAAGAAGGGGCATTGGCCTCTGTTAGAAGCTTCAGGGGCCTTTGCTTCTCTCTGGTTTTTTGTACCCCTCGAGATGAGAACTGACAATGTAGACTCAACTGGCTCTTGGGTGGGTTAGCACATCCCCTCCTTCTGTCTTTCGTTTCCAGTGGCCAGTGTGAGGTGGCAGGGACAATTCCCTGGGTAAAAACTGAGCTGTCCAGACCCCTGCACCCTGTTCTCCTATTGTGGGCCCAGCCAGGCCTGGCTGAGACAGACAGCCATTGGGGTCCACAAGTTTCCTTGCTTACTGATTCCTTCTCCTAGTGTTTGAGAGGGGCAGAGTCAGCTCCCCGCAGACTGAAATTGAGCCTTGGCTTTGGTGGGGTGAGAACAGGAAGCATCAGTGTGGAGACTCAGAGCAGGCCTCTGGCTCCCCTGGGCTGAGGACAGCCTCGTCTGTGCAGCTTACCTGAGTGTGCACATCCCACGTGGGACCCGCGTGCCCTGGAGAATCTGTGCCTCACAGGGATGCAGCTGTGGTCTGAGTCCTCTGGTCATAATACTGTTAGATGTCCAACCAACATCAAATTTTAAATACAGGAACATGTTGTTTGAAAATAATGACATTTCTGTGTACTTTTCAGAAGCCAGTGCTTTTATTTGTTTTGCATCTATCCAATTGGCAGGACACTCTAGGAAAAGGTTAAATAATCAGGATGACAGAGTGCGTGTGCCTGTGCCAAGGTTAAATAATCAGGACGACAGAGTGCCTGTGCCTGT